ACACACACACAGACACACACACACATACACACACAGAGACACACACACAACACATATAGCCTTGAGGGGGGGTCCCAGTTTTAAGGGCAATATATTTTCTTTAAATATATTTTTATTGATTTCAGAGAGGAAGGGAGAGGGAGAGAGAGAGAAACATCAGTGATGAGAGAGAGTCTGATTGGCTGCCTCCTGCACGCCTCCCACTGGCGATCGAGCCTGCAGTCTGGACACGCACCCTGACAGGGAGTTGAGCTGTGACCCTCCGGTTCATAGGTCGACGCTCCACCACGGAGCCACGCCGGCCGGGCATGCGGAGTAGACCTGCTGGGTGACGTGGTCGTCCTATACTGAATTCTTTAGGAGCCGCCCCGTTTTCCGCAATGGCCGCTCCGTCGTACATTCCACCAGCTGTGCACGCGGGCTCCAGCTCCCCCACATTCCCACCAGCACTTGTTCTTGTCCGATTTTGTTCTTCATATAAATTCTTCTGATGGGTGTGAAGTGGTGTTTCATCATGGTCCCAACTTCCATCTCCCTGGCAACTAGTGATGCTGCGTATCTTCTCACGTGCTGATTGGCTGTCTGTGTGCGTCTGTTCAGGGTCCCTGGCCCTTCCTGGAGTTGGGTGTCCTTTGCTGTTGTTGATTTGTGAGAGTTCTCTATTCTAGATACAGGGTCCCTTATGGTACGACGTTTCCCCTCTCCCTGGGTTAAATTTTGGCAAAGTCCCATTTACCTGTTTTCTTTTTGTTGCCTGCACTTTTGGTGTCTCATCAGAGCGATTTTATTTTGTTTTTCCTCCACCTGATACCTTATGTCCTTAAAGGCTGCCCTTGGGTGGTCTTCCTCTGTCTCAGGCACATCCAGCTCGTCAGTTTCCGGGTTCATTTGGAAGTTCTGTGTCCTGGGGGAAAGGCCAGGATACACGGACACACACACAGCACACACAGCCTGTCTAACCTGGGGCCGCTGTGATTCCAGCGTGCTGACGTGTGCTACATCCTGTGTGTCATGCATGGCATCCTACAGGCGACACGGCCAGCACCGGGTTCAACAGAGATTGAGAGATGGTTCCACCTGGGACATGCGTGTCTCCGTGTATGGGGACGTGCAGTCCCGGTTCCTCCGTAGCTGGGAGCCCTAGTGATCGGGCTGCAGCGTGGACAGAACAGCCTGGTCCTCCTTGAAGGAGTCCAAGGGCAGGGAGCTGTGTGTCCCCTGCTGCTCAGCCTCCCTGGCAACTCAGTGAGCACAGGGATTGCAAACAGTCTTTTTTTTCTTTTCTTGATAGAAACTACCTCCTTAGAAAGCAGATCTCCCCCGAAAACCTTGGAGGGAAGTGCTCACGGCACGAGGACGTGAGTCGGGGTGCTGGCGGCATGCCCGTCTTTTCCCCACAGGCTTCCTGAGCGCGGGGTTTGAGAAAGGCCGTCCCACCACGGCCAGTCCCGGTGCGGCCGTAGCCTCAGTGGCCTGGGCAGCAGACCCGTTTCCTTCCTGGTGAAATAGGCCCACGTCTGACTGGTGTTGACTCGTCCACCCCCCGCCCTCCCACAGAAGGACGCCTTTCATCTCTACCTTCTCCTGTCGTCCGTCGCACCCTAACCACAACGAGGACCAACCTTTCCTGAGCTACGGTGGTCTGAGCCCCTGCAGCTCCTCCCGGACCCCCTCGGAGACCTTCTAGCACAGCTCCCGCCCCACGTGGCCCCTCGAGGCACCCAGGCCTCAGCCCGTCTCTGCTCATCAGGTGGCAGCCTGGCAGGAAGGAAGCGATGCCCTCCGTCACAGCAGCAAATGGAAGCCCGCCTTCTCACCCATCGCTGGCCCTGGCCTGGCCAAGGCCGCTGACTGCCCGCTCCGGGCCAGCTCCGCTCGGAGCCAGAACTCCCTGTTCGCTTTCCGGCCCACCCTGCAGGGAGAGCTCAGCTCAGTCGATGCCACGCTGACCACCCACCCCAGGAAGGGCTTTCCGGGTGCACTGTCCGGGCTGGCGGGCTGAGGCCCATCAGCCACATCCCAACGGCTTTGCCTCCAGCGGGAGCCAGGCTGCCGGCCTGTTTGCAAGGCTCAGTGATGGTGCTCCTCTCTCCCACAAGGCCTTGGGGTGGCCAGCCTGGGCGCCCCCTGAGCTTTTCCGCCTGGAGTGACACCCAGCCAGTGAGCCACACCAGGCTGGACAGACAGTTTGCTTCTATCATACGCCAGTGTTGTAGAGACCCTGGTCTCTAAGGTCTTCCACGAATGCTGAGGTCATTAGCTGAAACTCAAGGTCAAGCTCAAGTTCACCCAGGTTGGCAAATGCCTTTCCAGTCCCTCAGACTCCAACAGCTTGTGTGTCGCGGTGATCATTCTTCACAGTGATTATTTCCTTGCCAGCTCATCGACGATGTTAATCGGATGGAGTTTACATCGTGTCCAGCGCTTTAGTGTTTCACCGACAACCCACCTACCAGCCATGTTCTCCCGCCGGGAGGCGCAGAGAGCACGGGTCATGGAGAAAAAGAGGCGGAGGGGGTGGACGGGCAACTTGCTGAACGGCACATCTGAGCGTGAACGTGTAAAAGGTGTTCACCCTGCCCGGCCGGCGTGGCTCAGGGGCTGAGCGTCGACCTATGAACCAGGAGGTCGCGGTTCCATTCCCAGGCAGGGCACATGCCTGTGTTGCAGGCTTGATCCCCAGTGTGGGGCGTGCAGGAGGCAGCCGATCCATGATTCTCTCTCATCATGGATGTTTCTCTCTCCCCCTCCCCCGCCCCCTTCCTCTCTGAGATCCATATACACTCACCTGCACTGTGAGTGACTCCGTTATTGTTTCTTGCACACGCAGCTCCTGAACCTGTCTGTCCGTGTGGGAGGACCCGCCTCCGCTGAGAAAGTCTGTCCACATACGAGGTGGGATGTGGCTGCACCAGCCAGGCTCGCCCTGGACAGGAGCCCGTCACGGGCCGGCGAGGCGCCTGCATCTCTCAGGGTGGCAGGGGCTGCGGGCAGGGCTGGGCGGGGCAGGACTGCTGTCCATGGTGCCAGCTGGGCTCGCGGGGCAGGACTCCGTGCGCTGCACTCTGTGGTGACTCTGAGTGGGTGGCCAGCCCTCCGGAGACTCAGGTGAGCACTTTCCTTTTCTGCTGAAGCCGGAAACCTTCTTACTCCAGGGAAACGCAAGTCCGAACAGCGACACAGGCCCCTTCGGCACAGACCAGGAGAGGCGCACAGCCCTGCGCTGCAGGAGGAGTGGGAAGTGGGTGAGCCTGAAGGGCAACCTGTTAACGTCCGGTGGGTCGGATGCAGGCGTCCGGTGACCAGAAATCCCACTTCTGCTCATGCTCCAAGCGATGGCTCCTGGAGACACCGCAAGGCTCCTCACCGTAGTGCCGCCGGTCCCGCCAGCCCCCACCCAGCCCCCTTCGCGTCCTGTACGATGAAAGATAGGTGGCGGCACGTCCACGCACACGCGTGAGCTGGCACGGCCTGCACCGCGACGGGCAGGCTCGGCAACGTGTCTGTGGGAGGAAGGACATGGCAGGAGGCTGTGCACAGTCTATTGTTCGCGCACATCTGAAGACATACCTGCAAACGGACGTGGACGGGTAACCTGAGGGAAGCTCCGTGGGTGGTGCCGCTGCCCCCGGTGTCCTGGCCGGGACATTACACCGCCGCTTCGTACCATTAGGGAAACCGGGCCGTCATTTCTCACACCTGCACGCGAATCCACAATTAGATCACTGAAAATCCCATTAAAAATGCCCACAGGACATACATGTTACTGGTACATACATGATGGCTTCTTCTCAGGCGGGGGGAGTGTAAGGTTCGCGGCGCAGGAGACCAAGTCAGAGACCCAGGCAAACCAAAAAGGAGGAGCTTTCATCTGCACCCCCAGGCGAGTTCACCGGTCCAAGGGCGGGGCCAGTGAAGTGGCGCCAGGAGGGAGTGGAGGCATTTTTTTATACAGCTGTTCAGTGAGGGCGGGGAGCATGAGCTGTGGGAGTTCCCGTCGCGGGCAGGTCCCTCACGGGTTCCAGGAAGGAATCGGTATCTGCGTCGCCATCTGCCTGGTGCATTGGTCTGCTGTGGGTTCCAGGAAGGGACCAGTATCTGCGTCACCATCTGCCTGGCGCGTGCATCGGCTCCTGGACTTCCCTCCGACCTGACAGGGAGGACACGGAACTTAGGGGACTTCGAGGTCCTGTTTTTCCTTAGAAAAAACTTCAGAGACAAATGCGATCAGATGTAAGCGATTGAAAATCCGGATGCAGGGAAACGAGGGAATACCACTCTGTGCTTCTCGAAAAATGCCCAGAAGACCTGGCTGGTAGCGCAGCTGGTTGGAGTGCCCTCCTCCTACGGCAAGGTTGCGGGTTCGATTCCTGGTCAGGGCACATACGGGAATCAGCCAATGAATAAGAATCAGCCAATGGATGCATGAATAAGTGGAACAACAAATCGATGTTTCTCCCTAAAATCAATAAAATAAAATAAAATAAGGTGCTGTTAACATAAAAAACCATTGAATCCTGTAAAGAATTTTTGTGAGTTTATTTGAGCCAAACTGTCGACATAAGCCAGGAAGCAGAACCTCAAGGAAATGAGATAATGCTCCGGAGATTGGCGGGTTACATCTGCATTTATACATTGCAACCAAAGGAAAGGGACGCAGGTGGGTGACATGAAATCCATTGGTGGTAGAGTAAGGAGGCGGGAGAAAGCAAAGGGGGGAACTCTGGGATTGGGCAACAAGTGAAATGATGGACATGTGCTTCTTTTCTGTAGATGAAAACAGGACAGTTTAACATAATCAACAGTCGGCAATTAACTTGATAACAATAACAATGAGGGAATGCCCTGGTGCCATTTGTTGTGCCCTGAGGGGTCCGGAAAAAAGGGAAGTTACAAGTTACCCAGACATTTCACCGATATGTTATCTTAGAGGCAGACAAATGGGCTCAGTACAGACCTCAGTTGATCTTTGTCAGGGAAAATACTGGCCTAGGACATGATTACCCACCATAGCCTGTTTGTAGTTAAATACTTAATTCTCAGAACATCCTTTGTGGTGACTTTAGGTCTCTGAGTTTGCAAGACCGCCACGCAGGCCTCCCCTGAGCTTGTCAGGTCAGCGTGTGGCCCCTTTCGCCCACAGCGCCAAGATGAAGTGAGTGACGTTTGTAAAGTGTTTAAGGCGCTGCCTGGCTCGGAGTAGGAGCTCAGTAGGTCTTAGCACCCCTGGCAATTACTGATACTCTCCCCCGGGGGGGGGGCGGTGAAGGGTGGGGGTGTGTGTGGGGGGAGGTTGGCTGGTGCCTGGCATACCTCCACACAGCGGCATTCTCTGTTGCTGTTGCTGTTAATCCTCACCTCAGGATATTATTTACTTTTTATTTTTATTTAGTGGAAAGGAGGGAGGGAGGGAGGGAGGGAGGGGGAGAGGGAGAGAAAGAAACATTGATGTGAGAGACACATGGATTGGTTGCATCCTGCCCCACTGTGGCCAGGGATGGAACCTGCAACGCAGGTGTGTGCCCTTGACTGGGAATCAATCCGACGACTATTTGGTGCGTGGGCCAACGCTCTGACCACTGAGCCACACCTGGGAACCGGCTCTGAGCAGGTAAAGGGCTCAGAGCAGGTGCGGAGGTCCCCGGGGGGGAGGGGGCAGTGAGGACTGTCTGGCTCCTGCCCCTGCCCCGCACCTGAAGGACGTCCCAGGAGGTTGCCCAGCCAGCCTGCTGAAGGCAGAGGCGTGTGGGTCAGGCGAGGCGGGGAATTCAGACGCCTGGGGCGACACTGGACCCTTTGAGTCCGTCCGTCCTGTCCTCTCCCCGCTCTGTGACCACAGTCAGCCACATTCAGGGGAAATTTCCAGGAGAAATGACGGGGACTCAGAGCTGCCTGCTGGTTAGGAATGGGAAGGGGAAGGGAAGGCAGCCCAGCCCTCTAACGGGAGCGGCCGAGAGCGCCACCTGTAGGCGAGCTGTCTCCTTCGACTCATCAATTCTTTCGGGATCCTCACCCCCAAAGGGGAAGATCCACCCCAGAAAAGACCAAGGCCCTGTCCTTTCAGCACCCTTGCCGAGGCCACCCAGCCAGCTGGCAGGACAACCTTGCGACAGTTTAACAAGCATTTGGTTGTGGTTCAGGACACATAAGGTACAAGTTGCCACGTGAGCATGTTTAAGGGCAGAGCGCACACTCACTCACGCTGCTGGGCAGCTGTCCCACCACCATCTCCAGAACTTCCCATCTTCCCACACTGAGACCTGGTCCCCATTAAACACGCACCCCACCCCCACCCCAGCCGGGCCCCACCCTCTGCTTCCACTCCGTGCAGCTGACTCCCCAGCCCCACAGGCGTGGAGTCAGACAGTGTGTCCTCGTGTGTCTGGCTGATCTCACCAGCATGTCCTCAGGCCCATCCACACGGCAGCGGGTGTCAGCATGCCCTTCCTTTCCCAGACGGACACTATTCCATGCATGGTGGGCCGCGTGCTGCTCGTGCATTTACCGGGCGGACGTTGGAGTGCTTCCCCCTTCTGGTTACTGTGAGTGATGCTGCTGTGAACACGGGTCTGCAGACATCTGTTTGAGACTCAATCATTTGTGGCAAGCTTTTCATTTTGGATAATTTCAAATTTACGGAAGTGTTGCAAAGGTAGCTCAGGGAGTCCCCGTGAACCCCGATGTTAACACTGTACGTGCCACAGCCACGAGAACCACCCCCGCACAATGCTGTTAACTCAACGCCAGGCATCGCTTAGGTTTCAGCTGTTTTTCCACGAACGTCCTGTTTCTTTTTTAAAAAATATATTTCTATTGATTTCAGAGAGGAAGGGAGAGGCAGAGAGAGAGAGAGAAACATCAACGATGAGAGAGAATCATTGATCAGCTGCCTGCAACCCGGGCACATGCCCTGACCGGGAATCGAACCATGACCTCCTGGATCATAGGTGGGTGCTCAACCACTGAGCCACGCTGGCTGGGCATGAACGTCCCAGGATCCAACCCAGACTGCCACACTGCATGCAGTCAGTGAGTTTTTCAAATGGTAATGACAAATGATAGGTCCTCCCTTCCCCCAACTGGTGGGCGGAGTATGACGGAACCTGCGGCCCAGAAATACCTGAGTACCTAACCAGGCACCTTATATGGACTATACATTGAACCACCAATCCACACCTGCCAAATACCCTAAGCTTTGTCCTATATGGACCATACATTAAGCCACCAATCAGCGCCAGCCGAGTACACTAAGCCCGCATTCCTTCCCATTCCGCCCCTCAAAAGGCGTGCTCACTCCTGCACATGCTGCTGTCCTCCCCTGTCGAGACAGCCCGGCAGGTCCTTCTCCTCTGATAAAGCCTGTAGTCCTGGTTTTCGGCCTCTGTCTGATCTTTCAACAAACACTAAGTAAAATGTGGGGTAAAA